CACTAAGACATACATTTAGTGATGGGCTTCCAAGCCAGTCTGGCTGAATCCAGAGCCCACGTTCTTATCTCCTCAGCAGTCATGAGTCACTGGAACAGTCTTAGTGATGTTTTCTGGTAGCTAATTTCAGCCTGAAAGAGTTAGAAAGCTGCCTTAGAGTTGTTACTTTCCAAATATACCGAATATTAACATTTTAGCCACTAAATTTAGCAGATCTGAGGTTTTCATGGTTATGTTTTATTTTAAAATGTGGTAAAGGAATTGTAAGAATATTATCTCTTCCTTGGAGGTTCAAAAATCAACTTGCCATTGGGGAGGAAAAAGATAACGTGATCTATAGGATATTTTTATAATTCTGGAGTCAGCATCCGTGCACCTTGCACACATGAATTTGCTCCAACTGCAGATCACAGCCTGAAACTTCCACAGCGATTGTCAACTAACACCTTTGCCTCCCTGAATATTTGCCTTCAAAGCATAAAAAGGATAAGGAAATGTTGGTGACTCGGAACACCTGTAATATTCCAATAATTCTTATTGTCAGAAGGAATTGCAGCAGAATATAGTGGTTAAGAGTGAGGGCTCTGAAACTCTGCAGCAAGTTTGAACTTGGCCCTGACCGCTTATCAGCAGCATGAGCTTGGACGCATTCCTTCTTTGGGCTTCAGCTTCCTCATCTGTAAAATCAGGGTAGCAGTAGTGGTGTTGTTGTGGAGGTTAAACGTGTACGGCGCCTTGAACATGGCTGAGCATGTAATAAGCACTTTATGTTCTTCTTACTTTCCCTCCAGAAAGGTTTGGGGAATTGAATGGTTTATGTAGTACAGCGCTGCAGAATAAACCCATGTGTATGTGTAAATGTGGGTGCATAGAGGGGGAGCGAGGGAATGGGGAGGGGGGTGGTTATTTAGCGTTTTAAAGAAACTAATCCAGAGCCCACATCTCGGAAGTGGTTGTTTAAGCATTTCAAGTATCATTAAGAATCTACACACCAGAAGGCTCAGAAACTGGTATAAGGTTGTACCACAGCTTTTCTTTCTTCCATTGGCTCTACCGAGTGTTAGGATATGGGTTTGGCTAGAAAGTTTCACAGGACCCGCTGTCCTTACCTGAAGGAAGAGGAAGAGCCCTGGTGTTTTCCGAGCTGCATCTCCATCCTGAGCTCTGCTTGGTCCCGTGTTTGCCTCTCTGTTCACAGAGGGCTCTGCCCTGAGATGCATTTGGAAGGTTGGTTAATCCATCGGTCAGAATCCTACAGAAAGACTACAAGTGAGCTTCCCACACAAGGTGCAGTCAGAAGGCCTGAGGACAGCCGTGTGGCTGTTTTTGTGCCTGGTGGCCAATCAGTGTTTATACTTTACCAAGAGGCTGGTCTAGGATATACTTTCATTGAAACATACTGTCTTACTGAGTAGTCTGTTGGAGGAGATAGGAGGAGAGGGAATTGATGGCTTTTATCTGCATCGGAGGCCAGAGGAGACTAATTCTTACCAGAATAACCACTGACCGTTGAATGACCAAATTGGCATAGGTCAGCCCCCAACACTGAGAGGTCTTATGTAAAGGACTCAGCTCGGTAATTGATACTCTTTTCATTCCCTGAAACCTGCCTTTCCTACCAGAAAGCAAAAAGGTAGGCCTGCAACCAATTCATTCATTTATTTGACAACTATTCAGAGGGCCCACTCTGTGCCAGGCACTGTGTTAGGTGCTGGGGACATATGCAGTAGTGTGTAAAGCAGCAGTTCTGCCCACACGGAGCTGACGTTCCAGCGAGCGAAGACAACGAACAAACTAAAAAAAATGCCGTCAAGCCTTCCTCTCCA